TGGCCATCTCCCTTCTCTGGCATACCTACTTTCAAGACTTTCTTGCCACGTAAGGCCAGCCTGCTGGCAGGGATGCTTTTGCCCTACTTGGTCAGGTGGATCCTGTCTCTTCTAAGCAGTTCTTGATCCTCAGAGAGGATCCCATGGTCATAAAAGCCAATTCCCCATCATCAACATGCTGCACAACCAGCTGTTGACCCACAGGATCCCTCCACTCCTCCTCTAGCCCTTCCCCCTCACCAGCAGGATCAAGGAGACACCACCATGCCCTTCATCCTCACCCCAGAGCCACCTAGTCACTGTTGATATGCTACAGGTTTCCCCTGCAGTATTATCGGCGCCCACGTGGAAGAGCAGCAGGGGGTAATAGTTCAAGGGCCAGACAAGTCTTGGTAGTCTCACTGCAGCATCCCAATCCTCAGCCCCTGGCAAGTAAAAAAATACATAATATTCTGATTTAAGGGAAACAACCAACCAAGCATGGACTTCTGTATATCAGACTGCAAACACCTGTGACATTGGTAACTGGGAAATAGTTTCCCAAATTACGGTAGCATTTTCATAGTATATTCAGTTTCTTTTTGCCAGTGTGAAAAATCAGACTTCATATCTATTCACATACAACATCAGCTCATTTGGCCTGTCTAGAATTGACATTTCATAGCATCAGCAGGTTCCGAATATATCACATTCTCCCTGCATTAATGGAAAAGCAGCAGCAGCTGTGAAGAATGCCAATAGACTCTTAAATATTGGATCCACGGTAGTACAATCGATCTGAGGATATATACTAAAAGATGCCTTTAATTAGCCCAAAAACTTTGTGTTTCATATTCTGCCCAACATGACTGCAGCCTTTAGAAGAAGGTGAGAAAACTAACAGCAACAACAGGAAGTCAGAAATTCCTGAGAGGAAGCAGAGGGATTCGGGGACTCCAAAAACAATAGCCCCTAGAAGTAAACACCTAAAAATACAGGCAAGAGACAGAAGTAATATTGCATGGATAAGAACTACTGTACCACCTGATTTCTTAAGAGCAAGTAATGGACATTTGTCCAGAAGATTCAAATGAATCTCCCATGCTAACACATGTATAAGATATAAAGCAAATTACTGGATGCAGGAATTGTAAAGACAATACTACAATATACACTAGCTCAGAAATTTTCCAAAAAACAGTCACCAGCAGAACAAAGAACACAATGTAACATTAAATAAAAGCACAAGTGTGTTTTCAAATGCTTTGAGTAATATTACAGATCTTGAGTGGTGAGAGGGGTGATGGGACAGGAATAATGCAAGTTATAGCATTTGTCACATGTGTGAGTATTTGCAAAATGAGCACATAAGATGATCTGTGCTTAAAAATCCATAAGACACAAAAGTGCTGCAAGTTGACTTGAAGGCATCCTACCTACTGCCATCCTTTAATAAATGACAGAAGTTAATATCTTTGCTAAGTTGGCACTCTTATTACCACTAGCATTATGTCTCAAAGGTGTTTATGCATCACTATAATATTTACATTTCTATAGAAATTTCAAGTAATAGGTTTTAGAGTGTATCATCTGCCAAAATCAGGTTCTGAGATTTCCTTATAGAATTCCTTATATAAACTCTACATACGAATGAGCCTGAGTCATAGGTAGAGGTTTAATGGTATCTTTCAAGGAGATTTAATCAGAGCGCAGAAACATCAGTATTTCTCACTGTCAGCCTGCAAAGAGCTGAACATTGACATGAGGATACAATAAGATGCAAATAGAGTTGTTTTCAGAAGAAGCTAAGCCTGTATGGCTTATGTTAAAAATGCAAAACCCATCTAGAATGCTGAGTACCTAAAAAATAAAAATAATAATCATCAAAATCTAAGATTACTTTCCCAGGGCATGTTGCAAAAATTGGTTCTAGAGTGATGTTATATGTCAGAGGCAGCCACTCTTCTGCAGCTGAATTTCTGTTCTGCCTTTTCTTTCTTCCCTCCTCACCCTACCAGGAGCCCTTCTGCTCTGAAAAACTACTCTTCTATGGATTACTGTGACTACCTTGTCACTACTCCCTCCTGTGTCCATCTGCCACTGCCTCCTCGTGCGTTACCACTTCCTATTCTTCCTGGCTCCAACAGCACCAGTCTGAAAAAAGTATTCTACTTTGCACCTTACCTCTAATACTGACATACCTCTTTATACGGGTACAGGGGTCTACGTACACATCTGAAAGAGGGGTCCGCAAATATCATGGGTTACATACAGTTCATAATTACCTCTTCCATTGTGTGTAGGCACATAGATCAAGCAGGGTGAAAAAGCAGGATTGCCTTACAGTTATCCTGCCGCTACCAGATGCCATCACAGAGAACAAAAAGCCTCTCCAATTTTCAATACTTCTCTGGCCCTGCTGGCACCCAGCCAGACCGCACAAAAAAACTGCTGCCAATTCCACTAGTGACTCAGTAGGTGGAATAAAAAACAGAAGGAAATAAAAACAAAGAAAAGGCTACCAGGACTGGATCTGAAGAAGCTGGTAAAGTTAATACAGAAACAGATATTCAGGTGCAATGGACTAGTGATAACGTGGGGAAAGGAGGAAAGATCTCGAAACACTGCTCTGCGCTTTGCTCACTCCCAAGCCATCAGCATTGCAGGCTCTCCTACCCTTCAACTTATTTTCCTATAAACTACCTCACTTTGCCACACTTGAAAAATCTGTTTCTGTAATAGCCTTTTCCCCCCCATCCCTGCTTGGTTGCGTTCTGCCCCCAAGATTTCCTAAAACCTTTGCCTTCTCCAAAGGCTAATTTGCCTCCCAGTCTCTATTTCAAGGAGAATTTCCTGCCCCTGGAGTGTTTTCATTGACTGGAAACTTCATATATGGAGCTAGGGAAAACAAAATAAACAAAAACAAACCAAACACACTAACAAAATAATAGCTTTGTTAGAACTGATCTTCTCTCAAAACGGAGCAGGATATTTTCTTAAGAAAAACACCTCCTCCCACCCCCCCACTGTACAGACGAAGCTATCCCAGCCTCTCAAACCGCTGCTCTCCTGTCCCCATGGGTCTCTCCCAGCCGACAAAATCTGTTCTAGAAGCACAGATCCTCCCTGGAAGACACAAGAGAACTGAAATTGGGTAGTGGAGGGAGAATCTCAGGAAAAATTACTTAACACATTTTTATTATATCCTGCAACAATCTATTTTCAAACCAGCTTCAAAGTACTCATACCAAAACTTATTTGCAGACAAGTGAAAAGGCATTCAAATTCAGAGCATCAGCACAATATGCTCTTATTCCCTCACTGGAGTTTTATCCCCACAAATATCCAGTGTCCTGCTGATTTACATCAGTACCAGGCTCATAACTCCTTACGGCATTACAGCGTGCTGCCCTGGGACATTCTGTACTCACCAAAGCATTATACTAATCTTGTTTAAAGCCTGGATCATCATGGCTAGGATCCACATCAGAAAAAAAATTCTGTAGAAAAGCAGAGCTGGTGCAAGGTATTTTGTCATCCTGAAAAGGCAAAAATGTCTTCTTCTGACAGTAACTGCCCACTGCTACCTTTTCCCTTTCCTTTAAGCTGCCATCCCTATAACAGCAGCAGCAAAGAACGCACCGCAGAGCTGAGCTAGAGGCTGAGCTGCAGTCATATATACTGCTCTGCTGTCCCAGCCACCCACCTCTGGCCGAGAGGTGGAAAAGTCTGCTGCATGTGATCACCATGAATAGGTGCATCCAGTTTTAAAGAGGCTTACTCCTAAGCATTTGTGCCACTTCTCTACTTCCCTAGCTGAGGCAGCAGAATATGAGATATGTACCTCGCAGAGGCCTTAGTTCACATCCGGTATATTGGCCTAAACAATAATCAAAGCAGGTAAGCACAAAGACATCCAATTGTGAACTGAGGCAGCTGAGCAGAGGTAGCTTTTTGTGCTCCTAACAAAACTCTGTACTAGGGAGCGGCCCAATAGATGGAGAGAAACTGTAACACTTACAAAGCAGCAGAGTCAAAATGATGCAGACTAGAAAATGTAAAGATTATAGCTCACTAGCTAAGGTGCAATCATACTTCCCTATCCATATTTCCATCTAACCACCTTGAAAATTATTACTTATCGATTACGAGAGAGATGAGAGCAAAAACCATTGTCTGGATCTGATGAAGAAACAAAATAGATCCAGAATGGCCATAATAGAGCCAGAGCCAAGTTGGAACAGTAACATAATGACGTTGACCAAGTCCCACACGTTACCTCCAAGACTATTTTCCTCATTACTACATAGTACTTCAGTTCCATTTAAGCACATCCAATCAGGTATTTTTTGGATACAAAGTATTTGATTCGCTATACTAATCTAAAAAAACAACTTTGAAATACTATTCAACATACTATTTTACCTTTTAACTCTTTTGTCAGTAATGAACTCAATACATGGCTTAGCATAGTATGCTGTACCAGAAGTCTGCTTAAATAGTTATTTTTCTTGATTATTTCGGGTTCAAAGAAAAAAAAAAAAGAAAAAAAGAAATAGAAGCCCAAAGTCAAGGATTAAACTATTGCATGAGGTTGCTCGTTGGGTCTGTTCCTCTTGCTCAACGCAAAATAACGCATCCGTCCAACAACTACATCCTTCTGGTAGCCTGACTCCTTGCTGCCACCCCACCAGCTCGCTCTCCCCCTAAATCCGTTCTCCAGTCCACAGCAAGAAGTTATTCCACGGGGTGTTTTCTTTTCCCCCCTTTCTGGGTTTTATGCTTTACTCCAAGGAGACACCTTCTCGTGAGTCCTGGATGGACTCATCATTTCCTGCTAGAAAGGATCAGTTCATATTTTTTTCTCCTCTAGGTTGGCAGTGACTGAAAGAGGTAGTTCTTGAAACCCATCCTCTGGCCCCTCGCTGGAGGAGGGAGTGTGTCAGTCACAGGCAGAAGTCAGAGCAAACAAAGGGGTGTTTGTGCAGCATCTCCCCCTGAGCCCTCCCTCTTCTCATCTCCTCTAGCCCTAGCTCTCTCTGGGTACCTCTAAAAAGATACAGCTGCCAAGAAAGTGAAAGGGAGAGAAGCAGAAGAGAAAGGTATGTCTTGCTCCTGAAATTATCCTTGTGCACTTGTTCTTCTGATGATAGTTACAGGATATAGAATTAGAAATACATATGGGAACATATGTAGGAAAATATTTGGGAGAAGCAGATGCATTGTAGGCAAAAGATGTTATACAAGATAGACGCATGGATACAATCCGGCTAAAGTCTTTCGCTGTCTCACTCTTCTTCACAAAGTTGGATGTTACAGTTGTTACTATGAAGTTATTAAACATACTATATTACTTTCCTGTACTCAACGTTACTGCAGAATTGGTGAACGTGGGGAGAAGTGTGTTCACAATTAATTGCTGTCTTTAAAAAAATTAAATGGGTTTTGATGAGAACCCAAATCCTGGAAAGAATCATAGTATTGATGGTAATTACAAAGCAGTAATTCACTAAATTCATCCTCGGTGGAATAGCTGCTGTCCTTACAATGCACCAACTGTTCAAGCAAAACAGATCTGAAGGATTTTTTTTTTAATGGAAAAAACCTTCTTCACAATATCACAGTTATGCAGCTCTTGTGTAATCATTTCTTATGAATACATTAATAAACCTAAATGTGTTATAATGCACTACTACACCTAAATATTTAAGTGTTTAGCTCAGCTTTTTACAGGTGTTCCTGAAATGGAAGCTTAACAAATGCATAATGAATGATAAAAAGCATTTTATGTTGAACAGGCATTTTTAGCTCAATGCACATTTAGAAAACAAGTTTATATAAAGTTTGCTTCACTTCGCTAAGTGCAATTAGCCAGCTTGTTTAGCCAGCACTTTCCACTGGACTGATTGGAAAAGACCACACACCAAAAAGATATCAATTAGAGCAAAGTATTCTGTTTTCAACCTCAGGCAACTGGAAATACACAGACTGCTTGATAATACTAGACTGCACGTTTAATGATTGATAAACTGAATTGTAAACTTTATCTTTTCCCCCCTAAACAAGCAGAATCTCTAGAGATGCTGAAATACACACTGCCATTTCTCACACATTTCCCCATTTCTGTATCCAGCTTCTAACACCTGAACTCCTAGTGATATCATTTGACCTCTAAAGTGTGTTACCACACTCAGCAAACATTGCCCTGTTATTCTTGGCCATGGAGGCCGAAACTTGTTTTTTTTTCCTGCTTTCTTTTTGGTCCTTTTCAGACTCCCTTTGCAGCTAGCAGATCCAGACTATATGGTGCCAAATTGCCTGGCAGGACAATTCAAAAACTCTCAGCTGAATGAACAGGGATGGCAATGATCCCTGACACAGCAGTGCATATTCCAAAACTACCTATTTTCCTTTAGATGAAACTCTGACTGGTTTCAAAGCACTTGTTCTCCTAGCTGAACTTCACTCACACCACTTCAAAGTAACCAATGAAGCAATTCATAAAAAAGGACTTATGAAAATGCTGGAAGCTCGTTTTAAATATTTTTAGATCGCTTTATGAAGACTATGCTGTTTCAAATTCTAACAGGAGTAAAGTCGCCTGGTTAGGCCTAGCGTAACTGGATTGTAACCTCTTCAGAAAGTTTAAAACACAAACGTCAGACTGTATTTGCTGGCAATGCTTCTTTGAGTCACCTTGGCAATTTGCTCATCATATTTATCTGGCTTGCTCCGCAAGAAAAGGGTTTTTCTGTGTTATGTGAAAGCAGATAGTATCTTCTACATACATTTTTAAACAAACATGTACTTACTAGGTCTGTTATTTACCCATGCATTCGGTAACGGTCCATCATCTGTGAAGCCTTATTCAGGAAAAGAAGTCATAGTATTTTGTCAGAAGTAGTATGCCATGTCCGGAAGGTCTGCTGAGTTTATCACCATTGATCCTGTGCAGGCAGTTCATAAAACACTTCAGTTCCTTGGGAATCTTTCATCTGCGAATAGGCTTCATTTTCTTACACTAAAGAGAACTTTTCAAAAAGATCGTTGACTGAGTTTCTTTTAAGTTAGTATCTGCAAAAAAAAAAAAAACACAGAAGAAATATTTAAGTAGAAACAAAACAATACACAATTTTCTGAATTACAGCAACACTAAACAAGACGCATAACTGACCTGTTAGTACAGCTATCTGTCCCATAGCTCACCCGCACAGGACCTTGCTTTATTAATGCTGATGTTGTCTATTATTCACATCAAACCTCTTGATGATGCGCTGCAGTAATATCCTGTTACATTCCAAGGCAAACAGTGAATTACTTTCAGAATTATGTCGATCATGAATTTTTTTATCCTGCAAATTTGACAGCCTACACACAAAATCTGACCCTTCTCATGATAGGACGTGTTCCTAGGATCACTTTAAGAAGATGGGATGCTAATTTGAATCTGTTGCCATCTACCTAACTCACTCAAGCTAGGGAAAGCTCATCCAAATTATTAGGAATATGAAACACACAGAAGAGCAAGATATTATGAATACCCCATCCTACAAAGGCACAAGAAGCTCACACCATAGATTTCAGTTTCATGGAACTCTTCTTCCATGAAATATTAAATAATTAAATTCAATTATCTGAACAGAAAAATATGCTTGGCATTGGCATTCATCAAGGCATAGCATATACAAACCTGCTCTCTTTGGACATTAGACTTTCTGGAGCAGAACTCTCATAACTGTGCAGTGTTTATAATCCTACAAAATAAAACCATTATTATAATACAGATACAGATCCTTTACTTGAGTCTAAAAAACAACATCGGGCCAAGTTAGAACAATGTTTACTTTATTCAAGAAGTAGTTTTGAGGTCTAAAACTAATAAAGACAGTATGTTATTTAATATTGCACTCTAAGGTAATTAAAAAATAGATCCCCAAGGCCCCATTAGTAGTAGCTTATAGGACTCTCCTACTCAAAAGTTCATACACAAGTTCACGGGAACTAAAAGAAATCATTCAGTGAATTTTGCTTCTATGACAGAAGCTAGAAAAGACACAAGAGCTTATTTTCATTTTAATCATATTCCTTAATACATTAGATACTTTAATATTATACTTGGCTATCAGTGTTCAAAAACATAAGTCTGCAAAAACTTATGAAAATATAATCAAAATGCATCCAGGTGTAGTATTTTATCCATTATATGAATCCAAATGTCCAGGCTTCCTTAGTTTTAAGCTTTGTTTTTTCATTCATTGGCTGAAGAAGTGGAAGATCAGCAAGATAAGTATGCTGGTAATATAATTACTATAATCTACAGTAATTTTTTCCTAGGTAAAGTCATACATCTAATAGCTTCTTGTTTGTTTTTCATGGGTTACCTCGGGAGTTTTACAAAATAAGACAAGTGAGACTCTGTATACCGTCATAGTGATTTCTAGATCGAGGATGCTTAAGTTTTTTTGTTCTAGATAGCAGCCCTACCATCTTAACTTGGCATCTGACAGTCTTTGATCAAACACTGCTTTATTCCTGATTATTTTCAGGTTAGTCTAGAATAGTCCATTCTGCAGCCTCACAGGAAAGACCAGGCAGGAACCAGTGGATCAACTCCATAGTGCCGACAGGATGAAGAACCACATTTTTGCTCTTCTCTTTTCTTGGCAGTAAAACAGACTCTTCGGAATATACATGGAGCTGTTGAACGGAGTTGACCATTGCTCTGGACTGGTTTTCAGAGTAGAACTGCTATTTAAACTCAGACAGATAGAGCCCTCTCTGTTCAAGCATGAGGAAAGGCAAAAAACAAAAAAACAAACAAACCAGTCTCCCTCCTCCTAATACCAGTAAGATCTAGGTTGAAGCATTGTTCAAAATGCAGGACTAATTTGAAAGTGAATGCAAGTTCAACGGTCTTACCCAAAGCTTTGTGGCATAGTCAGCCTCTGTGCAAAAGCAGCACAAAATAGTCCAGCTAGTGTTAAAGAAGCTCACTCAGATGATGGAAAATATAGTTGCAAGGAATAATTTATGCTGTCTTTTAAAAAGTGGTGTCCATTAAACCACAATGACCTCTTGTAGCATGACTCAGCTAAGTAGTTTTCAGCACCAAAAAAAAGATGATAATTTGTCAGTAACTCTAGCATATTGCAGCCTGCAGTGTAAAAATCACCAAGACCACAGTCCAGGACAGCAACTTCTCAAAGCACCGCTAAGAGCTTCAGCTTCCTTTGCTGTGTTGGTTTCTTGACCAGTCAGTCAGTCACGACAGGTTCAATCAGCAGACAGTTTTTCACAAGTTTTAAGGGGAAACATATTACTAATTATGTGAGCCACTCTTGTTCCAACAGCCCTCAAAGGGCCAAGATCACCAGGAAAACAATGAAATACATCTGAACCTTTTCCCTGCTTTAGTAGCATTTAATACATTCATTTACACCATTGGGAGAACATGTCCAGCTCAAAGCAATTTTCTCAAGGTGAGAGGCCAAAGAAACCACAAAATTGCCAGCAACAGAAGCCTCAATTCCCAAGAAAAGAAACAGGCTGTATAGAGAGCAATGAATGTCAGCTCCATGGCACTGTTCACCTCCGAGGAGGAAACACAAACCTCCAAAAGTTCACGGGAAAGAAGAAATGCAAGCTTGAAAGTAAATTGGGAAAACTGATCTGTTCAACAGGTATATCTGTTTCACATACCTCATTTCTCTTTAGCACTACTACAACAGGAAGCTTCGCAAAAATGAAGACGGTCTCAGCTCTGTTGCTGCTGAGCATGCTCCTGGGTACCCACACAGTGCCTTCCCCTCGGCTCTCTTGTTACAAGAGGGCCCTAAGAGACCACAACTGTCACAGCATCCCTGAAGGTCTGGCTAATCTGCGACAAATCGATCAGAGTCTGCAAGATCACTTTTGGGAAGGGAGGGGCTGTGAGATCATCTGTTACTGCAACTTTACTGAATTACTCTGCTGCCCAAAGTAAGACTGTTTTCTTTTACATGTTTATACGAAATAAGTTCTATGTAACCATTTATTATATTTCCATTACTTCACAGTTACCACCTGAGGAATAAGCTACCATTGTAAAGAAATGCATAACAGCTTCAGGTGGTTTGAAATTATATCAAGATACAGCCAGTTTTTAAATTTGTTTTTCAGTGCTCACCTGCGATTTGCTTAGCACACTTTAAACCTACACATCCTATTATAGGAAAATCAAGCATTCAGATCACCCAGCTTTTGACTCTTTTGCCAGCAACTGTTTGATCTACACCAGCTGTTAGCACTATGATAATTCCTTATCAACAGCACTTTGCAATGAAGTTGTTTTCAGGACCATCAAAGCCTTTAGATTCCTGATACACAGTAAAGAGCTATGTGGCTATTGCAAGGCATATGCAGGTATGTCAGCTGAATAAGTGATTCTGTGAAGGTAGCTGCTTTAGGTAGGAGAGTTAAGGGGGGGTCGGGGGCAGAAGTAAGTCCACAAATGCCCGCAAGGGAGGGAAGATTTAGCCCAGGAAACACTGACACTTGCCTGGCTTGCTGACATTGTGCTGACAGAGCTAAACAGAGAAATTCTGATGGGATGTGAATGTTATTGTTTTAGAAAAAGAATGTACATTTCAACAAATCTAATGTTGAGTTAATGAACACCACCAGCCTGCGATTTATTGGCCTGAAAGAATTAAATGCGTTAAGAGGTATTATCTCATTCAGCTTAACAGCTAAATATTTTATTCAGGAAATTTAAATTAAAACATCAACACCTCAAAAGTAGAAGTAGTCATTTTTGCTTACTTATATAATGCCACTAAGTGATAGCGGCCAGGAAACATTAATGCTCTTCTTACCACCAAAGCTTCTCAAGTCCCCCAGAATACAATAAAGGGTAACTTTTCAGTACTCGCACAGGATTAATAGGTCAGGACACGAGATCTTGAACCAAACAGGAATGAATTCTAAAGTTAAAAATTCTCTTTGATTACCCTTCTGGCAGACCACATTTAAACAGAGAATAAGGTTTAAAATACATTTTTCCTATTTCATTCTCCTCCAAGCTACATATGGCGTCTTCACCTTGCAGCACACTTTGGCTTACAGCTTCAATCTCTGAGCTTTAAACCATCCATGAAAGGCTCTTGTTTTGACACAAATACACAAGAAGCCTACCTTCATCTACCTCCAGACACAGAAGACTTACTTTGCAGGTCTGCTCTCAGGACAAATTGCAGTAAACAGTATGTGTGCACATGCCCAAGTTCTTTATTTTTTTTAATATCATATATATGGTAAGTTTACTTTCTCAAAGCAAAAATACCAGCAGTAAGGTTCAGGCACACACAGTCAATGAGAGTTCCGCTATCACTTCCAAAGCGGAGGTAGAAATATACTATCTTCAAATAGACCAGGAGTTGCATTTGCACTACCAGAAGAACATCCTACAAACATAATAATCCCACATACACCCCACCAAAAAACAACAAACAACCAAAACCAAAAAACCCCACACAATTGGAAATGCTTATTTTGTTAAAGCTCTGATGAAGCAATAACCAACTACTTAAATATCTGGTAATGTTTTTCAGAGATACTTTCTTTGGACCAAAGATCTCTTTTGTGATTCCCTGCAGCAGTCAGTGACCAACATCAAGTCTACCAGCGAGGACTACAGGCACAGCACCTACAATTACGTAACAGTGCTTTAAGAGAAGAAAAAAAAAAGAAACAACAAACCCTTCCTTTCTAACCACATTAGAGTGCCTCTCCTTACACTGTAGGAAAATTTCTATATCTTTTTGGAATCTTAAAACCATAAGGTTTTCCCTTCAAACTTGTTAGCTGCCTGAATTTTCGTAACACTTTGAAACTTGATAGAAGGCTAATCATTGTCCTAATATGCTTCTCCTAGCAAAAAATCTCTCTCTTTTTAAAGGAGGACAACATTCCCAAAGGAGTTGATATAGGAACTTCAAGCTTAACATTAAACGTGGTTAAGAAGGTGACCCTTGTAGCAACCTACTGCATAAGGTGGTTAAGAATGTGACTCCTTGTAGCACTCTTCCACAGTACAGCTTCCTATTGCTTTATTGTTGTTACACGGTTAATGTTGTTTTACCCTGAAGCTACTGGATACCTGGCACTTGTGTAGATAGGTTACCATGTTCTATTTAAGCAGCTTTAAGGAAGAGGGGAGAGGGGAAAAAAGCAAATTTGCACCATTTGTATTTGAAAATTCCACTGGAAAAATTGTCAAAGCTCACATTAGCAACTAAAGCATACTCAGGTCATAATTATGTCTAACTGGTCACCTGCATAACAATAAAATGTGTAAAACATTAGTCAAATTGTTTAAATTTAACATTGCACTTCTATCAGAAGAGCTGCTAGAGCATGTACACTCAGAAAGGCATCTAAAGAGGATAGGACTGATGCAAGGTCCATTAAGGTAACATTAAAAATCCTCACTTAAGCAGCTTTTGGATCAAGCCTTGTTTGAAATATAGTACCTCAGAATTAAATTAAACGTTGACTTTGTATTTAGGGTAGCCTTGTAGGGAAGTAGGTAGCAATGAGAAGACAAAGAGGTAACTAGAAATATTAAAGAATCATCTTAAAGTTTAAGAATTATCATGGTCTAGCCTGCAGATGTACAGTTCTCTCTCAACATTTGCTAATGCTGATTACAATACAAGAAAAAAATAGCCAATAGTTTAATGTACGCAAGTTTAACAAAAGCTACTTGAACAAGCTAGACTTACAGGTAGCAAGGTACCTTATTGCCTAATATACAAAAACTCTTTAGCTGTCAAGTCAGTCACATGGAAAACATGTAACACTGATGTGACTATCTTTAGTCTTTCTCCCTCAAAACAAAGTACCATGCATCTAAATCTTATAACCTTACCCCATGAAAACTGCTACTACCAGTTTACCAGAGTTTTACTTCACAAAGAGTATGAAACATCACAATGACTGTGTTCTTCATCTTTTGGTAAAAGAGAGTTTGATGGTAGTTTTCTTTTATTATCATTATACATAACTAATAATAAATGCTTCAAGTGAATCTGTGCATACTATTTTTAATCAAGCAATTTTTAGGCTACTGTCTGTTAAACAAACAGTTTCTGTCTCTAGGCTTTTTAAGCCTGGTTTGCGTAATTATTCCTGAGTCATTCAGGCTTCCTACCAAATAATTAGCTGGCAGGCTGGAGGGTGGAAATGTAGCAACCAACAGTCAAAATATCCAAAGCCAGCACTCTAAGAAAACATACAGTAGCCACTCTTGTGGAAAGTCTCCTCTAAGCTTCTAGCAGTAATAAGGGCATGTAGCATTTGTGGGTCCTGCTATCTGGTTTCTACATGAATCACACTGTATGCCTCTGTCATTCACGGCTTTCCAGAGTGGCAGTAGCAAAAATTCTAAGGCAGAGGCACAACTGGGTAGCAAAGTTAGAAGGCAGTTTTCAATTACTTCCCTTCTATCGCTACTGACTAGGGGAAATCCATAATCCACAGCAGAAAAGTTTTGCCAGTTTTTCATGTGCAGGATAGGATCACTTAGGCTGCTATTTTAAGACTTACTTCCTGTAGAAGCTTTTGCCTTTGTTTCTTCCCCCCAACACTCCTTCCCTCCCAAGAAGGCTTATACAGGTCCTGCCAGGCCCACGTGAGCGCGTTCATCCCCATCATGCATTCTGTGCTAGAGAAAAACACCTTTACCTTTTAGGCATCATATTCACTGCCAGGTTCCCTCACTGTTTTTCTCTAATTAGTACTTTGCTATACATCCTTTGCACAAATTCAGTTTGTCATCTTCAGACAACTTTACAATCACTACAGTGAAATGTATATTAAAACATTTCCTCACCAAAGGAATATCAATTTTAGCTACCACTAGCTAGGTATCATTAACTAGCTTGAACTTAGGCCAACAGTGCAGAACTTTAATCTGGAAATATGTGAGACACTGCAAGTGAGAGAAATTAGGCCAGTGATAGCTACTGGGAAGACAGCCAGTTTGAATTTAGGGTTTATCATCATTCAGTCCTGAGCAAGAGTGCAATGGGTCAAAAAAGCAAAATAGGACAGCATCTCAGTCTTAGTGACTTCAAAGCAATTTTCAAAAAAGTTACAAGATTAGCATCCAGCAGATTAGATTATAAGACTGCTGCTTTCATGGTTTTCCCACATTAAGAAAAAACTTCTTAAACATCTTCTGATAAGACTTGGAGCTGTAACATATGCTAACTGAACAAGCTGAAGCTGTGGTCTTTCTCTCTTTTGAGATGATAACTCTTTTTCCCCCATCAACCTATATGCACAGCTTAAAACAAAGCAGAAAAAAGCCAAGAATTAAATTTCATACATCACAGATTTAGATAGGAACAATAGTTATCAGTAAAAATACAAGAAATCATGTATATTCTTCAACATTGCAGATTTCACTAAGATATTCAACTAGAAGCAAGAGTGCTTAACTCCTTAAAAAAAAAAAACAGATAACATATGGTAACATCTTCAATAGGAAGAAAAAATACTACAGGAAACCATATCAGACCAGCATCAGCTCCATCTTTCATTCTCCAATTACGTTCTTGGCAACAGCCTATGTAGATGGAGGAAGGAGAGTCAGCAGTTAGAGTATTTCTTCCCAAGTGCAAGAATCTGTGCAGTAAGTATACTACAGCAGTCTTTCAATCTGTACTTATATCTTTGAAATTCAAGAGCTGCAATATTTTCTTTCTAATACAGGAGCGGGAGGGCCTTAAGGCTTGGAAGCACAGATCACACCAACAAGATGAACAAACAAATCAGAAGAGATCCCATCAACTCTTGCTTCCAAAGAGTTAAAAACAAAACATTATTCAGCCATTTCTCCTCAGCCAACCAGTGGAACTGTCATTTACAGCCTTTTACCTTGGGGAGGGGCAAATCTATTGCTAATCCTGCTACAGCTTCTTTTGTTTTCTTTTTAAAACAGTATTGCATCACGAGACTTCTAAGTACATTCATAAATATGTCCTTGGCACACTTCAATTGAAAAATATTTTAATATTATTACATAAGTAGTCAAAGCTTAAGTATTATTTACAAGTAACTCACCAAATAAGTTACAGACACACCCAGTTGAGCAACAATATCAGTGATATTTATTTAAAATACTTTTGCTGAGGAAATTTGTTTCAGAGAGGTGGTTTTCAAATAAATCATCAAGATTATGAAAAATAAAAGCAACAAGTTCTCTGGGAGAAAAGTTACAAAGAAAGCTTTTGTATATCAACAAAAACCCTCAGTCTTTTGATCTGGAGCCTGAGTCTCAGTCCCAACCTTCTCTGTCTAATGAACCCCACTATCCATCTTTAGATCTGGTTTGTTCTTGTCATTCTTCACCGAGTAGATGAAATACGTTAAGGTGTCCTTTTCATTCACTGGAATTGTCCTAAAATGGCAGCCAATTATCTATAAAGGAAGAATGCAAGGAAATTAAATAACCACTTTTATATGCTGAAACTGAAGCTTCAGATTTAAATCAGCTACATTAAAGGAAGTTTAAAAGGTTGATCAGGCAGTGAAAAAAAAATACTGTCTCCTTCCAATAATTTTTAATTGTCATACATAAGCTAGGACAGAAACCATTTTGACCCCTAGGACCAAATATACCCAATTGTACTCCAATTTCCCAACTAAAAAGCCCTGGACATTTTCATAGAAGTTTAGATTTCAAAGCAAATGTAGGAGTATCATTACACATGTGTAGGTAAAGCTCAAATATAAAACAAGTAGCCACTACAGAATACAAGCAGAACTACAGTATAGAAAGGGGACCTCATTACTCAGGTTGAGGGGATCTGTGTGAAGTTGTGCTTAGAAACCAGTATGACCCAATGCAAGAATTTTCAAAAATGATCATCAAACATTCAGCTCTTCAAATCAGAGCTGTCAATGATAATTCTGTGTGATGGAACAACTAAAACATGACAGTCTCTAAACAGTTCTTGAGTCGTTTCTGTGATTCTGGAAGTTTTTGCCTTCATCAGAATGGACTGCCAGCTTTAGGAAAGCAGCAGAATTCTTTGGTAGATTAAGATTATTAGCAGGAAGAAGTAAGGAAATGGGGCTGTTCATTTAACTGGCATACGGTATAAGCATTTAGCATAATTAGGGAGTTAGAGGGCTTTTTAAACCCAGCAACTAGAAAAATTCACACCCACCTAAAAAACAGTCCTTCTCTCAGTTAGCATATTCACTCAAAGCTAGCGTACTAACAGTAGAGGAGTGTATGCTGTGCATTAGGACCAGTTACGAGGAACCATATGCACTGTCTAAACTAAGAAAGCTCTGCTGCTATAGCTCACAAAAACCTGTAGGTTAGTCAAAGCACATGACAAAAGAAGCTTTGCCTGTTAACCTACTTACATCAAAAAGCATAAGGAGTATAAACCAGTGCACGCATTGTATAAGATGTACCTGAAGCAGACCCTTGGGAGTGTCCATTTTAGAAAACATAAGCTGCTTGTACTCTTTCAAATCAGTTCTGTTAACTTAAGAACCAGCCACACTGCAACTCTCAGAAGACTGATTTTAAATTCTTCCTTGTAGCAGCAGAAGCACGGGCAGTACACTGCTTTTTTACAGCTCGGCCTTGAGATCGCTCACACATTTAAGAACCTTGGCTTTAGTCCACACTGATTAGTGGAGAGACCAACAGAATGTCTGCATAGAAGTACAGCTGAGTGTATCACTACCCAAAACTGAGAATGGGGAAAACTAGTGAGTGTATCACTACCCAAAACTGAGAACGGCTATTACTTTAATGGAGGACCACCAGTTCTTCCATGTATTTGCATCAGCATTCTGTAAACTGCATCTGCACTGTGTGACAGGATCCTTTAAAGATTACACTCACACATAGTAAAGAAAGTGCTTTGTTACTTCAAAAAAATATATTGATAAGACCTCATTTAATGAAGTTCCACTTTCTGATGAGAGATTTCAGTTTTATCAATTAAATACTAGTGTAATACAGAAATCTGTTTTAGTTTTCCATGCTTTCTATACAGAAAGATCTATGTCTGTATTAATGAGCTTTTAAAGCCAAGCCAAGTCTCTGTCCTACTAGAATTTCACTGCTACCTCACAGATTCTAATTATTTTCAGTAGAACACCTAGGGTGAAAATGTGACTGATGTACAGACACATCCACATTTCTGTGATATTCAGAGTCACGCAACAGATCATCTTACTGTTTCAACTCCACACTTCTTGTTTTTAAGCAGTACACACTCCTTCTAGAAGTTAAGAGTCCCTTCCCTGGAAAAAACTTTTATTTTTGATTTATTTGGCTGAGAAGTGGTGACGAATGAAGGAAACTAGATAAGCAGCTCCCTTTTGTTCTCATAAAACCCAGATTACACATGCTCTTCATGCAAGAATCACATTATACAGAAAACCACATGCCATAGCAAGTTGCATTTTCTATTACGGAACAAACACTCATACGTACTTCAACAAGCTGTGCTTTGTTAAGTCCTGGTCTGGTCTGTAGTTTGAAGTGTCTTTTGTACCTTCGAAGTGTGTTTACTTGTAACTGATATAAATCGACCTAGAAAAGATGGGGGAAAAGAAGAAAGTCATCTAACGTGACTGACCAGAATTCATAGTTTGCCTCTGAAGAACACCTGGGAATCTCACAAAGTAGATGCACAAATGTGAACTGTCAGCTCAGTAGATATCATTTTGAGAAAAACAACCTCTACCCCACACCTCCAGGAAGAAAGCAAAAAAACCCAGTTCAGTTTAAGACTATTTTACCAGTCACGGCCTTTCCTCCCTTTTACAGTGATAATATTTGGAACTAGTTACTGTACTTTACTCAGTTCTGGGTTTTTGTTTGTTCCTCATTTTGAACATGAACAACAAAACCCCATTATTACTTTCATATTATGTCTATGAAGAGCTAGTTCACAGGAAGCCCCTATATTGTGATTTCAGCCATTAAATTTTATGGACGTAGCACACAAATACAGCATAAGACGGCATGCATTAGAACCAAGAAAAAGTCTAGAGTACAAAGTTTTTTTGGCTTGAGGTGAGAGAAGAAAACAGCTGCTCTTGGTCTGCAAACATATTGCTGCTACATAAGCACAGCGTAGGAGTTATGTGCATAGGCATAGTTGCCCAGAACTATTTTTCAGCACGAGTTGACAGTTGAGAGAATTGCACAAGCTCCTCTTAAGGATATAAATACATAACCCTAACCCAGTACTCCCTCACTTCTGAATCCCATAAACTCTGACCAACAGTCACTTCTCCCAGCAACACCTTACCCTCCCACCTTCCTTGACAGAGAGCTTAATCAAAAGGCCAAGTAGGGGGAGAGGAAAACAAAAAAAAAAAAAGAAAAAGAAAAAAAAGGCTAAGAAAGTAGGCTGAATGAAAACTTCTGCTAGATCACTTGCAATTACAGTAGTATTCTCCAAAAATCACAGCACTGAAGATTAAGGAATTCACTTTCACTCTAAATTCATTTAGTAACCTCAGCTATAGGTTAAGAACAGTGCTACTGCGTACTTGGTAACGTGGCTAGAGTTCATGCGTACCACCTTACGCAATAGAGGATGGGTATCCTTTGGTATTCCAAAGTTTACATGGACTAAATTCCACTTCCCAAGGGAACCCCATGCCCTAGAGAATCACACATAGGAGTAGCAGCAGCTCCCTGCAACGTCCCAGAAGCTAGCAGTACCATGGAAGCTCTCCTGTCTACAGGCATAATTTCTAACTGCTAGCGACAGTCAAGACTGAAGAGGAGACTAGAGGGCCCTAAAGGTCCTCAGATAGATTTTTTTCCCTCCCTCCCCTCCCCTTAGTAAAGGGAATAGCACTTCAAAATACAGAAGATCAAGAGCATACAGGCATCACAGGGCCACAAAGATGATTAGGGGACTGGAGCATCCCTGTACGAGGGGAGTCTGAGACTGCTACAACTGCTTCCTTACAACTGCTGGACAAGAGAAGGCTCGGGGGGAACTTACTGATGTGTATAGATACCTGATGGATGGGTATAAGAGGACAGGGCCAGACTCTTCTCAGTGGTACCCCAGGGATGGAACAAGAGGTAATGGGCACAAACTGAAACACAGGAAGTCCTGTCTGAACATAAGGAATCCCCCTCTTTAAAAAAAAAAAAAAAAAAAAAAACAAAAACCCTGACACCTGTGAGGGTGGTTGAACACTGAAACAGGTTATAAGAGAGGCTGTTCAGTCTCCGTCCTTGGAGACAATCAAAACCCAACTGGACAGGGCCTCGAGTAACCTGCTCTACTTGAACCTGCTTGAGCAGGGCGCTCGGATCAGATGATCTTCAGAGGTCCCTTTGAATCCCAGCTACTCTGCGATTCTGTGATCTAAGGCATATGGTGATCAACGGGGAGGACATATTACTATCACCCAAACAGCCAGCTGAAACTCCTCAAATGCACTTCCCAGCCAGTTTTCTTGTCTGCAGCAGTACCACTAAAAAAGTTTGCTTTTTTTGTTCCAGAAATGCTCATAAGTTGTGACATGTTTTAGAATTCTTGTACTGAAAAGCAAAACAGGCTTGCTGAAGAGTGGCAGTTTCCACTGTGCCAGGCAGCTACCTTAAGTCACATGGCACATTAAGTTTAGACAGAACTTTCAGAAAAGTGATCCAACGTATTTAACAGCCAAAAACACAGGCTAGCATCAAATCATTCCCAATCCCCCAAGATCCTCCCAGTCAGAGCCTTCAAGCTGGAGCTGCATGTCTTCAGGCAGTGACTCTTGCAAAGTTGTATTACTTATGTGGCTGATGTATGCAGATTTGGGCTATGAGGATGCCATCAAAGTTACATTCAATGAGCAACATCCAAAACATCTTGAAAATCCCTTAGAGGAACTAGGTTGGAATCACAGCCTCTGCTCAGAATCATCACACTGAAGAGCACCCGCTAAACCAGGCTCCAGCAGAAATAATCCAGTACACACGTAGAGGAAGAGGGCTTTAGGTCATGGCATGCTTCTTACAAACCTAGTGCTTTCTTCCCCCAACACTACGAAAAAGGTTCAAAAGCTGCAGTTCACTTTCAAAATAAGTGACAATGTTTCACAAACCTCCAGTGGAGAACACAAACAGGGAGAGGGCTATCCTCCTCCTCTCCTTTCCTGCCTGACTCTGAGTGTCTCCTCCCTGAACAGGGGACAAAAACCATAGAGCTATCCTCATTAGAGTTAGACTAGAGCAACAGAGTAGCTGCAAGAACTATTCTGCAACACGTTTTCACACCCAGAAAGAAATGATTGGAGGGACAGGAGTAGTGAAGCATTTATATCCCAAGTCCTACGTGCAATTCCCTTAAAATTGTCAGCTCCTGCAGAAGATAGATTTTGCTACTATGTGGCAAAGCATCACTTCTAGTAGAAGTCTGGAGAGGAAGCATCGGAAAGAAAAAGTTGAAAACAGTTTTTTTGAGAAAACTAGCAGATAATGAGAAATAAGCCAAGAGTTTTGTTCATTCTAATCTACATGATTAATACAGAAGATACTTCATAAAACTCAGTCAGCTCCTGTTATACTAAGGACTTAATGAGTCAGGAGTCTTCTGTTTTCCCCATCCCCCAAAATAAGGAAAGCTGTAACAGTGGAAAAGCAGCATTAGTGCAGACCTGGTAGTCATTAAGAAAAAGCTTAACATAACAATTAGAAAACAGCTATTTAGCTACCTCTGGAGTGTCGATGTCTTGCACCGGTGAGTCACCATCATCATCACTGCCTTTCCTCTTCCTTCTATTTCTCACACTCTGAATTAAGTTTTTGTGGAAGTCACAAATATAAAGATGTCTTGCCTGAAAGAGTAATGCTGCATCTTTCAATCAAATACACACACGTATCTGCTCAACTTAAGATATAAATGCACATACAGAACCAACCCTTCAGCAATCACAGTCACGTTAACTGAGTTCAGGAAGCTTTTCTGCTCGATTTCACTAAATAAGGTATGTGTTACGCTACGGACGACTGCCACCCGCTTAGCCTAGAGAGCGGGGAAGTGCCGCAGCAGACTGATTCAGTAGTACCGGACTGCAGAGGCACATGAATCTCCACGGCCGCTCGTCAGCGCTCAGGCATCAGGCAACAAGAGTGATTCAGTCGTTCTTCTGAACGCCCCAAAGCGGGAGGACTTCAGCTCTCGTTTCCCATCTGTACTCCTTTGTTTCACTTCCACTGCCTACGCAAGGTCAAGCGGCACATACGCTTTCTTTTTTTCTTTTTTTTTTTTTGGATAAAGTTTCCTTCTGGAAGGACCCGTTCATTTCGAAAGCAGAGTTCTTACTTATGTGCAAAAACCGTTTTTTTCCAGAGCGGTGAGCGCCGACTTTAACCGGAATTAAGGACCCGAGCGGGGCTAGGTTTACAGGGTGACAGCGCAGCGCGGCCGTGAGGAGG